AACAATAATGTTTTTTTTTTTCCAGACTTCTCATCATTACAAGCAGCTTAGTTGTTTTGTACATTTCTCAATACAATGTCACATCATAATATGATCATCGGGTGTTTCAATCAGCTATAATCAAATAGACTGTTGTGTTATGATTTTTGTTTTGTTTGAGTATTTTTTGATGCATTTCAAGAGGAATAGGTGCTTCTTAGTGCTTACATTTAGTGATTGCCGGAATTGTTCTCTTAGCCTCATACTGCATTGGTGTATCTACTGCAGTGAATATTTCAAATCAAAATGTCGAGATCTACAGAATTTTTTTGATCGTCTTTAGTTCTCATGAGATGAGATTTGCTCTAGTCGTGATTTCCATTTGAATGTGATACATATTTCTCTTGTATGTCTCATCAGCTCTTTGAAATTTCAAATGCTTCTGAGTATTGAACTTAACATAAATTTCATGTACTTGTATGATTTTCACAGAGTCATGGACGAAACTGAATTAGATGGATGAAATTGATGGTTTTATTCATGAATTTGTTCTTTTATAGAATTATTATTATAAAACTGTTGGTCTTCAAATCTGAAGTTGAAGTAGATAGCAATACAACAACGACCATAGGCGGAAATTCACAAGAACCAAACAGAGCTTGAGTAAGGTTTTGACAACGATATGGGTTACAATTTATTCTGCTTCCTCTGATAAAAGAAAAATTTTTGTCACATGGGGTATGGTTCATTTTCTAATAGTGGTTTACTCATCAGTGGCAGCGCTCTAGAAATGAGTGCTTATCCACCAGATATTGTGTATCGGGAGCTTACAATAAATGATTTCTATGATTTACGAGAGTAAGTTTGGCCATTATTCAATATCAAGACTCGTTAGGGAACGTAAAATCTGCGCATTAAACTATTAAGTGGAGGTACGTGCACTTGCAGCCTTGGTCACCAATGCCTACCGTTACCGTATCCCGATTCATATTGGCTCAGAATTGCTAGTGATGCAAGCACTCACTACTCACTTGGTAAGCGTTACTGTAATCTTTTCTATTGAAGTACCTAGTTTCGATCAATCATCCAGGCGCTTACAATAAACAGCAAAGTCTTGTCGGCGCTATTGGCGTGATAAGATGCGTAAAAGATTATTTTTCTGGAAGACTCCTAAGTCCTGACGAGGAACAGTTAATCGATACTTATAGAAAGGTAGGACTATCTGAGATCTTGAATCCTCAAATTATTAGTTAAGAGTTAGGTATGTTATATAACAACATTAATGGTCGCACCTGATTACCGTAAGATCGGCATTGCCACACAACTTCTACAACGTGCCAGTACAGTATTGCTTCAAGAAGGCAGCCGCCTTGTGAGAT